ACGAGCACCAAACATCCCCCGCTCATGCCGCACGAAGGTCTGCGGGTCGATCGTGGTCGGCGTGACCCCAATTTCAGCGAGGGCACGCCTCAAAGCCAACAACCACAATCTCGGTGCGTCCTTGAGTCCAAACCCAGGTCTGAGCAGCCGCAGGACCTCGACCTCGGGGCTGAAGTCCTCATAGCCCGGCTGCATGCGCAGCAGTGTCTCGCCGCCTGGAGGCAGCTCCAAAGCAACTTCTCTGCGGTCTTCACCAGCTTCGGCCAGCTCCTCAAACGTCAGCCCTCTCAGGAATGCTTCACTGACATCCGCACTGTGAAGAGTCCAGCCTCTGTTGACCGCCACCGTGATCAAGATCCGCTGTGACCACTTCGTGGAAGTTCCAGCGTAGTTGCTTGTGAGCTGGGTGTCCAAGAAGCCTTGTGCCACCAACCTGGCCTTGATCTTCTTGTCGGCGTTCTCCACAGCCTTCCACTTCAAAACCCACTTGCTGCGCAGGATGTTCTTCTGACCATGTTTGGCCGTTCTGCACCATGACTTGTGCTTGATCCAGCGCTGCAGCTCCTGCACCATGGACTCGCGGCACTTCTCAGCGTTGACCAGTGCTTCTTCACGTGTCAGTACATTGTGCTCGCGCTCGATGGCTGCAAAGGGCTTGTCGTTGGACAGCAAAACCAGGGCTGTGTCCTGCTTGCGCATCTGACTCATGAGCTTCTGGATGCTGCCGGTGGTGTAGACCAGAACTCCATACATCAGCTCAGTCCCGGCGGTGGCAGATTTCATGGAAATGCCGGAGGTGACGAATGCTGGTGAACTTCAAGAACCCGCAGAGCTGGCCGAGACAAAGGCTGTTCCTCGTTCTGGCTCACTGCCCGGCTCATCAGGCTCTTCGGCTTCTGCAGCGTTTTGACTCGCTCCTTGCTCTTCCTCTCCAGGCTCATCCGGTGCTGGTTGGGCATCAACGATTGCCCTCACCTTCCTTTTTCGCACGAGGTCTTTGTCTTTGACCTCAACCAGCTCGGGGGCCTGCGGTTCGTGTGGGCCACCGATGTGTGGAGTGTCATCCACCTGAGTCCGTAGTTGCCGTGCTTCTTCATCATCAACCATGAAATACTGCACGAAAGCCACCTGCTTCTGCTCGGTCAGCCTCTCCAAGCTGATGTACTTGGTTCCGGTGATGAAACAGTGATTCCACCTCCGAAGATCACCGCGCTGCCACCACACGATCAGCGTGTCGTCATAGATCGTCGCTGGGAGGCCATTGACTCCATGTCCGAACCTGAAACCGACGGTGCCCTGAAGATGTAGGCACACTCCGGCAACATAGAGTCCGGCATTGAGCACCTCCGCATAGTACCGGTTTCCTTCACACGACACCCAGCATGCTCCCTGCTTGAACCAGCCCAGCCGTAGAGCTTCTCCTCGTTGAGCTTCCACAGCATCACGTAGAAGCCGCACGGGATTTGATGGCTGTGCGAGGAAGAGCGTTAACACAAGGGCTCTCCGCACATCTTGAGTCCGCACCAACAACTGCCTGCCCTGCCAGCGCACATACACGATCCCTTCCCTGAGGCTTGACAGATCAGAGACCGTGGCAGGGCCAACCCAGCCGCTGGCGTCCTTCGTAGTTGGCCGCCTGAAAATCTCAACCAGGTCGCCAATCTCGAGTTCCAAAAGTTCCGCTGACCGTCTCACCTTGGCGCGGTTCGCAATGAGCAGCTTCTGCTGAGCTGTGGCTTCAATCATTGAGCTCACTGCTATCTGCCGGATCCGAGCTGCGTCTCGTTCTGCTAGAGGTGCTGCTGCGTCGTGCGCCATGACCTGCAACAATGGTGGAGTTCTCCCGAAGACAGCCTCGTGGGGTGTGGTGTTGCCAACAGTGAACAAAATGTTCTTGGCATAGATCGCCTCGCCGATCAGTGTGTTGATGCCGACGGGAGGCCTTCGTTCTGAGCCTGCGTGTCAATCAAATGAAGTTGACGTCGCAGCAGTTCATTGTGTCGTTCCACCACTCCACAATGCTGCTCCTTCGCCACCAGCTGCAGGTTAATGCCACGGCGACTCATCTGCTCCGCCGCATAGTCCGTTGCCAAAGCGCCTTCCTGGTCGGACATCAACGTTTGCGGCGGTCCAAAGAAGCGAATCCAGCAGTTGTCCATGGCCGCCAGGGTCGAGTCGGCCGTCCTGTTGGGGATGACCTCCGCTGCTGTCCACCGAGTCGTCATGTCGACCATGTGGAACAGCACGTAGTCCTTGTAGAACAGCAGGTCGCACTGCGCAATCATGTTCATGGCCTCTGGCAACTTTGATGATGTGGCCGCCTTGATGCCCGGCCGTTGCCATGCCCTGCAAACTGCGCATGTGTCAACCACCTCCGACACCAGGGCCAAAACCTCACGTGAGGTTCCTGCTGCAGAGAGAAGAGCTCGCATCTTGGCCGCTGAGCAGTGGTACCACCGGAGGTGCAGTCGCCGAAGTGCACGACGTACCACTCCTTCTCGCACGCTCCGTAGTGCTTGCAAAGCCGCTCCGAGGTCAAAGCGCGACCAGAGGTTCTTCAGGATCTGAACCTCCGTCATCTCCATCTCCACCATCGTCCGGTGCAGGGGGTCCACCACCAGGCTTGACCAGCTTCTTCTCGGAGCGTTCCTCAGCTTGTGTACCAGCGTCTGCTTTGCGTGTTCTGGGTCCACTATCTGCGGCCTTCAGCGCTCGCCTTGCTTCAGGATCTGCGGGATAATCCGCAACTTCACCAGCTGGCTCACGCCGGATTGTCAAGGGTTTCGGCCTTGCTGCGGGATCGCCAGGAACTCCACTCTCTCGCCTGGGATCGTCGCTCAAAGTGCTGGTCGGATCTCTGCAAGCCGGCACTCGTCCATCTCTAGGATGAGACCCTCTTCGTTCTCTCGTGCCTCCAGCTGGCATTTCACGTGCCACTGCCCATTGGCAATCTGGCCCAAGGGTGTGTGTGCGGTGCGCCCGATGTCGGTTTGCCCTGCATGCTGGACACCTCCAATCACTTGGCTCAACATGTTTGAACCGGCAGTCGCCACTGCGTGAGTGTCTCTTGTCGTCTTGACGAAGATGTCCACGACAGCCGGGACACTCATATCGGTGCGTGCCAGCAGCAAAAGCCTTGGTGTGATTGGGTCTGCTGAGGAGATACTAGTGAATGCCGGCTGCAATTCTCTCACAGATCCAGGGGCCAAACTTGCATGTCGGCACTCTTCACCACATGAGCTGCATGTCCCTTCCACTGCCCGATCACCGCATGCTCGTGCTTGCCATCGCATCTCAGGTTTTGCAGGTGGAATAGGAGCTGCTCGTGTGAAGCCCGGATTTCCGTGCTTTTGCGGGCCGGCAGGAAGGGTTCCTTTGCCATCCTCAGTCCAGTCATGCATTGCTCGAAAACCACCTTGAACACGTGATCCTCGAGCTGTTTCCACTCCGGCTCATCGTAGAGCCCACTGCCAGCTGGTTGCTCGACCATAAACGCTTTGCCTCGTCTCAGCTGCGAAATTGCGACTCGTCCGCTAAGGCGTCCCAAAGATCTGCTCCGCATCTGAGACTTCTTCCAGGCTTCGGGATTGATCTGTCGGTTGAGGTTGCCCCATTTGCAGTAACCAGTGCATGGGGGTGCCATGAGCACCACTTCTGGGTCGTTGCGCTCCAGGTAGGTGAACAGATAGTCCACGTCCTGCTTCTTAGTGAGATCAACGCCACACATGATCTCAAAGTTGATTCCAGCCCTTCTGCCAAAGCGTCGGACCAAAACATGTGTGGTTGTTGCACCGCCACCAAATAGCTCACAAACATCTACGTAGCTGCCTCCTCCCTGCTCAAGGCTACCAGCTCTGCGATGTGGTGAACTCCACGTTCTGCTCAAACCTCTGCTGGTTGTTCGGTCCCGCTCCCGTGAAAACAGCTACGGAAGCATGCTCCAAAGTCCACAAAGTAGTTCGGGCATTCGTCATGTAAAACGAGATCGTTGTCTGTGGCGTGTGCAAATTGTGACTCAATACCCAGGGGCGTCATATCTTCACCGCAGTCATCATGATGTTGTTCAACCACCTTGCGTCGGGGTTGTGCAACGTGTCCCGCGGCCTTTTGCGCCTTCTGTCGGATTGCGTTCTCAGTTGGGAATGCCAGCTGCTCATGTTTGTCCTCTTTCTCCCCTCCCGATGGCTTGGGCTGATCAGCATACTGATCTAACAGCGGTCTCCCGGACGTGTGTCCAGCATACCCCAGCCGTCTACCATCAGAAGAAGAGGGAGCGACAAACACTTGTTCAGGTCCGACATTACCAACCAAGTCCTTCCAGTGCTGGCAAGTCTTGAGGTGACCCGTGCTGTCGTTGTCATTGCTAAACTCAGGTTGCCTGCTGATAGGTCTGGCTCCGGCACCCACCATGGATGCTGCCACTAGCAGGTACATGGCCAACTTGGCCATCACTCCACGCTCTCTTGCATGCTTCTGCTGCGCATGCATTCTCTTTTGATGCACATGTTGAGTGCCCTTCGGACATCGGCACTCGGCTTGTGAGGTCACCGGGAAGTTTGTGACCACCTTCACTATGGAGTTGCATGGGTCCATGCTGCCAAGGCTGTCATGGTCTTCCAACCTGCACCACAAATGTTCGGAAACGAACATCTGCTCAGCTGCCTCCCGCATAGGTTGCAGTGACCACACCTGGCTGTTGTTGTTTGCTTCCATGATCACCAAGCGTTGAGCGGCTGCTTGGCTTCTCATCAACCGGCAAAGATGTTCTGTCTGGTGGATGTCCAGCTTGTTGCCAGATCCAGCGTGTGGTCCTGCAAGGCGTATCCACATTACGTGTGGGGCAGTCTCATGCAGTTGGCTCACCATGACCTCCGCCTGATGCCGTGACTGAAGGTCATGGAAGAAATGAATTGTCTTCATACCAAAACTTTGCAGCATCTGCTGCCTCATCCCATTCCGGTCACTGAAAACCCAAGCCACCTTGTCAGCAAGGAAATGCCTCATCTGGTGACCCAAGGTTTCAGTGAGAGCGCTCTTCTGAAGCGCTCCATTCTCCGGTCAGTTGGTCTTACGACGCGCCTGCAGCCCATCGCGAAGTCCAACTCCTTGCTGCTCTTGAGTCCACCGCGCTCCAGGCCAGGAGGCTCGCGCGGCTTGATCGGGAGAATGAAGTGACCACTGTCCGCCAACTCGAGGGCGAACACCTTGGTGCCGGGCGAACCCTCCATCTGAACTCCACCTTCTCCGGGAAGTATGAGGGTGCCCGAGGCACAGTCCAAAATGGCTCGATGCTTGCGCAGCGCCTTGTTGCCCAGCAAAGGCGGCAGATTGCTTCCGCCGATCACCGGCGCCGTGTAGGAGCTGCCCATCAAGCCCCCACTCGTTGCCTCCAATGCCATCTCGATCTTGGCAGACATGACAGACCTTTGGCTGTTCTGTCCAACTCCTTCCACATCGAGTGCACGGTTCAGCTTCTGGTTGTGGATCTGGCTGTTGACCTGGGAGGCCATCTGCAACATCGTACCTTCGCCAACGAGGTTGTCATGAGCTCCCGGATCAATGAGCAGACCAACCTCACCGTTGCGAATTCTGGTGCGCAAGTGGTAAGTCTGATGCGTGGCCTGTTTGCTTTGGCCACTCTCCCACCACGGAAACACTGAGCTCCGTCCATCATCACCGCTAGCACTTCCACCGCCGCGTCGATCCAGTCCAAGCAGCAGCTTCGTCAAGCCAGCAGTGTTCTGCTGCCTGAGGTCCTCATCTCGCACCTGCACCGCGCTCAGATCTGGGGCTCGTCCAGGTGGAGGATGAAGAGGATCTCGGGCGCCTTCCACCAACGGGTAGATCTCTGGGTCCTGAAGGCTGGTAGTGCTGTCGTCCTTCGCGAGGTCGAAGTGTTCCGCTTCTTCCGCCGGTGTTGATGGGCGCTCCCATGACGCTGAGGTTGCCCCCGGAGACCATGTCGGTGCCGGGGGAGTTCCATCCCGTGCCTGTCGTACTCGTCGAGGTGTGCTGACCACTGAGCTCTGCTCTGGTCGCTTACGGCTAGCAGCATAGCTCACCTCGCTGCCGGCCTGGGACACAAGTCGTGGATCTGGCCTGGGTGTGGAAAGCCATGCCCGGGAGCAAACCACCGCTGCTCCAGCTCCTGGGATCCATCGTGGTGAGAGCCAAGGCTGGCCGCTTCTCAGCGGCATGCATGTGTCCTTGTCCACCTCCATCAAGCATCGGACACTTCTTGATGAGGTGCTCGTCGGACCCGCATCTGTGGCACTTCATGATCATGCCATCCTTCTTCCTGAAAAAGCCACCGGATTTGCCCTTACCATGGCCAATCCTTCCACCACCGCCAGACTTGCCCTTGCCGCCGGCGAAAGCTCCTGGAGGAAGGAAACTAGCATAGCTTCGCTTGTTGCGGTACCTCCGAGGTCCCTTCTGGGCAAATCGCCGCCGCCTCTTTCGAGCGAAGACATAGGCCTGGTAAGCGTCCTCGACAGTCATGTTGGCCTCCGGGTCATCCAGGGGCGCCTCGTCGTCCGTGCTGGTGTTGGTGCTGTTACCATCATCATCATTCCAAGCCGCATAGCTGCCGCACATCGGACAGCCATTCTGATCACCTCCAGGGGAAGTTGCACATGTTGGGATCCATGTGATAGTTCCCGGTTGTCCTGTAGCCGCCCCACGGATCACCGCCTCCTCCGGGTAGCCAAGGATCATTGGCTCCGCCTGCGTCAGGAGGTCCATCAAACGTGGGGTATGCCAGGTAGTTGCCGGGGTCACCATTGGCTCCAGCTGCTCCCTGCTAATATTGATATCGCCCTTCTGGCACATGGCCTGATCTCCTGACTCTCTCAATCAGGGCATTGAACTGGCCTTCGTCTTGTGGAAGAGCACCATGAAGGGGAGCAAGGAGCCGTTCCCATCCGTCTGGGCTGATCTGCAGCGCTTGGAGCAACAGCCATGACAGTCCACTGTGCCCCATGTTGAAGCCACCCTGCTGTGTTGCTCTGATGCGCAAGACCTCGTAGCGGACCAAGACACCGTCCACTGTCTCTCCAGGCATCCGCCTGAAGCCCAGAAACTCGCTGATGGCCTTAGTACTGTTCTCGGCATCCAGGGGCGCGTACCTCCGAGCAAGTACCGTGACCAGCAGCATGAGGCCCGTGAGGTGTTGACCAGTGAGTTGATCTACGTCTCCGTCTCGGAGCAGTTGTGGCGTGATCTCCCTCACGAGCTCCTTGGCCGAGCCCTGCACTTGCAGTGCTGCCACCGGGCCCTGCCTCCTGGGGTCGATCTCCGTGGCGCTGCTCCAGAGAACGAGGTCGCTCACCCAGCTCCTGAAGGAGTAGTGGTGATTGCGTTCCACGCTCCAGGCTGGTGGCACCTTGAGCGTAGCCGTACCCACAAACGGGGGACCGGCATCCCCCACGGGAGCAAAGCTCCTAGGTCCGTGAGGTCCGTGTCGTCCACCTTCACGCGGGCGAAACACATTCTGCATGCAGGCCACCATACTGAGCACGAGGACACCATAGTGCAGCGGCCAGAACCATCGTAGCTTCTGCTGCCACCCATCTGGTTCTCCATGAAGCCGCCGTGTCCTGCTCCGTGTTCGCGATCTCGATCTCGACCGCGTGCATGGTCCTGCAGAACCGCTCGATGGCACCAGCTGATCCGCGGTGCGCTCCTCAGACTCCGAATTCTCGACGTTGCCCTCGTCGTCCACCTCGACCTGTTGGTCCTCCTCCGCAATCTCTCGGTTGGGCCTCCGGCGAACCCAGAAGCATGTCATGCCCGTCCAGGTGTAGGGCATGACCCTGCGCTCATCCAGCCACCAGTTGTCCACCACGATGTGTCGAGCTTCGTGACGGGGAACAACATGAGTGGTCCTCTCATCTTCCAGCTCATGCACCGCGATGCCTGGCGGGATTGGCCCCCCCTCGCTCGGGAGGAAGAACTCCGTCCGCAGCCGCACATGAATGCGGCATGGTCTCACACCTTGTTGGCTGAATGAGACCTCCCAGTAGTCGGCCACGTCTTCGGCTGAAGGCATGGCCAAAGCTGTCGGGATGGTCTTGCCGTCCAGCACCTTGGCGGGCTCCAGGTCGTGGGTGACGTTGGGCATCCGCACGTCGTGCAGTTCATCCTCCTTGGCCAGGTGGATGATCTCCGTCATCAGGCTCATTGCCAGCAGCAGCATCACCACGTAGATGCAGCTGCAAAAGCACCATCTCATCATACTGCAGCGGCAGCAACAGCTTGCCAACTTGGCGATGCTGTTGCATCTGCTGCTGCAAGCAGGTCCTCCTGGAGCAACCTGCTCCGCTACCAACTCGAACTCACCCAAGCGAAGCGGCCTCCCCATCGCAGCACCGCCCTTTCTTCCGGCAGCGCCCATGGCTGGGCGAGTCATCTCAAGGTAGGCCCGAGGGGCCTGTACAGAAAAGTGTTCTTGGGCCTGCAGGCTCCGGGGAAATACCGCTAAACTAGCCCAGCGGATTTTGACACCAAATAGGAAAGCAGCATACCTGCAAAGGTCCGATGTCAAAAGCAGCATAATCCACAACACCGAATAAGTAAGTGACCCCTGATGAAACAATGATCCCTATTGGCTCATGCAATCTCTGTCCCCCTCCCCTGTTCAGACATTTGCCCCCCCTTGTTCAGACATTTGGAGGAAACCAGAGGCAGGGGGAGGGGTTGGGGAGAGGGTTTGGAATCCTGTGATAAGTCCAAGTGGGGTGTGGCGTTTTTGAGGGCACCCTTGTTGGGACTATTTCATCAGTTTTTTAGGCCAACAGGGTGTGCTTGTTTGGAGGGTGCCTTTTTATGGGGGTTGTTTCAAGGGAGTTCAAAGAGACTTGCCATCTTGGTGGGGAGTTCTCCCCCAGAATCCCGTCTTTCCAAACCAACTATCCGAATCTCCTGCAGAATTGAATGATTCAGAAGTTCCCCTGCAAAGAAATACTGGCTCCCAGTGAAACGCTAGGAAGTTTCTGACTACCTGGGCCAATGAAAGGGTCAACACAACACTTGTGCAAACGGGGTCCCACGTTGGGAACCCCTGTGAAGGCTGATGGAAGCAAGGGTGCCGTGATCTAAGCGAGCAGCCGAGATTAGCTCGGTCAGGGAAAGTCAAAATTCGGCACCAAGAATCGACAGGGTGTCCCGAAATGCGAGCCGAGCTAGTTTGGGAACCCGTGCCCAGCCCTTCCGCCCGGCACTTCCACAGAGCACGCGCCAAGGATTGCACAAGGCCAGGTGCCCGCACTCCCCGACTGTGCCTCGCGAACTCGGAGCCTGTCCAATCCAGCGGGAAGGCGCCGCTCAGCGCATTGGCGGCCGAGATCATACGCTTCGCAAAGCCGCCGCTTCTGTGGTGCCCTGCGGACGGCGCTTAGGTCCCCAGACTTGGACGCGAACTGCTGGTGCATAGCTGCACCAGCGCCATGATCTATGCAGACGCCGGATCCTCTTAAATAAAAGAAACAATTCAGCAGCGACAACTTGAATATTGCTAAGTAGTCTGATTGTCAACACATTATCACTGTCATGTGAAGTCGCGTGTACGTGTGCGTGTGTGTGTGGGTGTGTGGGTGTGTGTGTGTGCTTGTGTATGTGTGTATGTGAGTTCTGTGTTTTTCATGTTTGCATGTGTGTGTGGTTTGTGTAAAACAATGTGTGTATAAGTGAATATGCATGTGTACATGTGTGTGTGTGTGCGTGCCTGTGTATCTGCATGCGTGTTTGTGTGTGACTGTGCATATGTCTATGGCATGTGTGTATGTGATTGTGCGCGCGTGTGTGTGTGTGTGTGTGTGGTGTGTGTGTGGGTGGTGTGTGTGTGTGTGGTGTGTGTTTGTGTGGTGAGCGTGTATGTGCGTGTGTGTGTGTCACTGTGTCTGTCCGTCTCTGTCTCTGTCTCTGTCTCTGTCTCTGTCTCTGTCTCTGTCTCTGTCTCTGTCTCTGTCTCTGTCTCTGTCTGTGTTGTGCATTCGTGTAAGTTTGCAAGTACGCTTGAGTATGTCCTCCGTATTTGTGAGTGTGCCTTTTGTGTTTGTGCAGGTGTGCGTGTCATGTTTGTACGTACACTGGATGCCAATGAGTATGTGATGTTGCGTATGCGTATGTGTATGTGTGTGTGTGTGCGAGCAGAGTATCCGTGTCTTTGTGTTTGTGTCCTTGCTCGGGGTACAGCAAAACCACAAGCCCGTCTTGCGGACCTGACCTCCCCATACGGGTATTGACACCACAAAATGGTTGATTTCCCTTTACACCGAGCTGAAAAAGGTATTTTCAACAAACACACACATACAGTTGAGTGAAGGTAGATGACACCATCCCCTCGTGTTGGTTAAGTCATCCCCTACACGTACCCAAGGGCATCGTGCAATCTAACTTCACTCTTGCGCCGCCATGCGCTGGATGAAAGAAATCGTGCGCGACTTTTGAAACAGATCCACGACCCCTTGTTGGTCAAGTTGGGTTGGGTCATGATTGCCTGTCACAGCACGATGTTAAGCAGGCCTGCGGGGTCGCAAACCCGCAGGCAGACTGTAAAACTCATGTTATAGGTTCGTCTCAAAATAGGGAACCCCCAAAACGGGCTGGTTGTCCTTTTGGTTTTTCTTTCAAATCAACGCAAAACAGGGTGCCCTCAAAAGAAGACACCTCCTGTTGTTGGTATGAATCTTAGTTGGGGACCCTTTGGACATCCTTCAGGTGTCATTTATTTATCTATTTATTTTAATGTGTCGAACCACTTGTTGCATTGAGAGTTGTTCCCTCTCCAAAATCAAAACGCCAGAACTCGCGCCCAAGAAATTCGCGGACCCGCAACAGCGCGAGTTCGAGACGCCTTGCAACAGCACGGGGCTTGGCAGCTCCATGGCCAGGCCCTCACCTGGCGAAGCCGACGCCCTTGAGCCAATGGACGGCGCGTCGGCGCCCGAAACGCAGCGGTTCGCAAACCGACGCCGGGGCTCCCCGGTTTTGTGAGGCTAGGTTCTTAGCTGAGTGTTTAACTATGGGAAACGAGAGAACCCCTCCTCAAAGCTGTGCATGCATTTGATCTAATGATCAAGTCTCAGAGGCCCGCGGGTCCAAATGAATGGCGGCTTCGGCGCTTTTGAGGCGCATTGCGCTGTCTCACGGTCTCAGCCTGGAGTATCCGAAAAGCATGCAATGGTTCAAGCCGTTTGCTTGAACTGCTCGACACTGGAACCTCCCTTGCCCTGGCCGCCTGGTTGGGCAGGACTGCAGTCACAGTCCCACTGAGCGCTTTGTCAAGGACTTCTTAAGTCCATGCCCAACGATTTGGTTGAATTTGAGTCTTCGGGTACCGACATGCATTTCCCAACCAGGGCCAGATGACAAGCGGCAGAAAATGGGTCGCTTAATGTCGCTTAAACAGAGTTCAAAGGCCAAGCTGAACTGAGGCCAGACTTACGCCCTCTGCAAAAACTAAGCTGGTTGAAAGAGAAAACAAAGGAAACCGACAGAAGGGGCCTATATGGGGCTTTCGCAAAACCGGAAGCAAAGTCTGGCAATGCAACTTGGTGCAACAAGAGTGCGGCCAAAACTTCGCCGCAACACTTCTTGTGGAAAATCACTCCGGCGTCTGCCTGGCAAAATGAAGGTTGCATCAAATCAAGCCTTCAATTGATACTGCTGGCCTGTCAAGCACGTATCGCATGCAAGAATGAAAAAAACAACAAAAGACACAACGAAAGAAAGAGGGAACAAAAGAAAGAATGAAAGGAAGGAAAGAAGAAAGAAAGAAAGAAATAAAGAAAGAAAAGCAGAAAGAAAGGAAGGAAGGAAAGAAGACATAATAAATAAAGACAAGCCACAAATAGACAGAGCACAGCGAAAGAAAGAGGGAACGAAAGGAAATAAATAAAGAAAACAAGGAAGAAATAAATAAATTCCGAAACTACAAACTGACAGAAAGAACACGACTAAATAACATATATAACAAAATGATGAAATAAGGAAGAACAAAACAAAACAAAATAAGGCTAAATAAAGAAAGAACAAAACAAAAGAAAGAACAAACGAAAGAAAGAAACAAAGAAAGAAATACAGAAAGACAGACAGACAAACAGAAAGAAAGAAAGAAAGAAAAAAAAGAAAGACAGAAAGACAGACAGAAAGAAAGAAAGACAGAAAGAAAGAAGACAGGAAGAAAGACATACAGACAGGAAACAAACAGACATGAATAGACAGAGGCATGGACAAACAGACACTAAGACATAAACAAAGGCACACGTCCCAGATGCCTGCCGCTTCAAGCAGGCAGCTGCGCCTCAGACGGCAGTTCTTTTGAAAGACGTGGTTTAATTGACCGACCATATTGCACACTCAGCACCGTAACATCATGTACTGGGTATACAAGGGAGAATGCAAGGAAATCACTGGGGTCATTCTGTCGACTTGTTTTTGTTGCTGCTTTTTTTGGGGGGGACTTCCCTTTTTTTGGGGGTGGGGGGGTGGGGTATCAGCAAATGGGGAGCTTTTCCCCTTAACCTGCCGCTTGAAGGATGACTTTGAGAATGGTCAAATCATGGGCCCACGTAATCTTCTCACCCTGTGCAGGCCATCGGATCGATTCGACAAGGGAGCCGTTGACTCCTTTTCCTTTAAAAACTGAACCTGAGGCTCCGCACAGCCAACCTATATTTGTTCCCTTCGAACACCACCCTCGAAAGGAAGCTTACCTTAAAATGGACCGAATGGTGATGTTAAAAATTGAAAACCACCCTTCAAGGGGACATACAGCAAAGGAGCCACCCAACCTTTGCCCAAGCAAGTTACATTTCTTTGGGATCCGTTTTCCGTATCCCTGGTTCACAGGATTTATCTCCTTCCAGCCAGTCCTTTTATATTGGAGTAGCAGTTAAAAGGAGCGGTCACCCTAAGGGGAGTTGGGAATTTGGCAGCACTTCGGTAGCCCTGCAAGCTGTGTTGCAAAAGAATGGCATCTGTGTCAATGTTGATCCTGGACTGGAGCGAATCTAATATTTTGAGCAGCTTTCCTAGAATCGGAAGGCTCAATAAGTCACATCTCGGCCATCAATCTGTTCAATGGACCTTGGACTGGTCAGGGTGACTGGATGTCCCCTTCAAGTTGCAATGTACTGGTGATTTCCCTTGAAACTGCCACTTTTGGAGGTTCCAAAGCGAGAAATGGAAGGGTCTCACTGATGATCACTGATGGTTGTCAACCAACTTTTCGGCACCAAAGCGGCCGCCGTGCTTGATCTTCAGCCCTGTGGACTCTCTCCGCGAATGGCACAGTTCAGAAGCCCAAGTGAAACACCCGGCCCCGGGACCTCGCGAATTCTTGCCATGTCGACCCCGGGACAACAAATTTCAGGCAACGAGTTCAGGGCACGCAAGTTGCTACAACCAACCCCTGATTCCCAAAGAAACCAAAAGCAGGTAGTGAAAACAGCGTAATTTTAACCATGCTTTGAACAAGTTCAATCGACCAAGCAGTCACGGGCTTGTCCGGCAAAGAGCATGTCGTTGGGATCCAGTTTCAACTCCCGTTGGCCGTTGATCCCTGCGGAAACCTTTTGCGCCCCAAACACAGGTGCGGCGAAGCAAGGGTCCTCCAGCGAAGCCAAGCCATCTGCACAATATGATTTCCAAAGCTGGGCTCGTAATAATTTGTGCAAAATCCTTATGGGTATGAGAGTTAATTGGGGACGCCTTGGTGCACATCATTTGGGACCCACCACGTTCCCTATTGATATTCATATTGTCCAACCCCCCGCAACCCCTCCGCGCTTGATAAGGCCTAGTTGGGGTCGTGTGTTTGGGGAAACCAAGAAGACACTGGGTTATGGGGGTTGGATCCTATGAGTACTCCCATCCAGATTAAGATGGAACCCAAAGGCCATCACTTGTTGAGGAATCTCCTTTTGGGAATCCTTATTTTGGGTTCCACGTGGCAATGAGCTGTAATGTCGGATACCCTGAAACATGAGCAGGGGACAGAAATTCTCAAACATGTCCACCAAAACGTGTCGCTACTTGCTGTAAATTCACACCCATGTAAGCTTTGCATGGGAGAATGTTCATTTGGTTTGCTCTTGGTTTCCCTTCACTCAAACAAAAAACACACCCATATCTGAAGTCATCTTCAGGGCGTCGGCGTCTGGGGCCCGCGCCAAAGCGCGGATGCCGGGGACGACACCCGGCACCTGCAACACCTGAGTCACCAAGCATTCCATGCAACTTAGAGTGTGCTGTTTTGGAGTGGGTATCCTTTTTGGAGTGGATTGAAGGGAACGAAAAGGAAAACCACCATGATCACAAGCTTCAATGAGTGCCACATAGTTGACCCCGGATTTCAGTAGAACGTTGCGAATTAAGAGGGGCTAGGTCCTTAATCCTAGGTAAAACATATCCGCACTACCCCTCCTCCCACTAACGTGTCACCTGACAAAGGGACCCTTGAAGAGTAAATTGATCATCCGGGCACCCTTTTACAAATGCCGTCTGATAGTGGGAGCAAATTTGCTTGGGACTGATCCCTGCCCTCACCAGGTCAACTGGATGTGGCTCTGTCAGGCTCTCCGTGCTGAAGTGCCTCTTGACATCTCTCTAAGATGTTCCCCAAGAACATATCTCGGGCGCCAGGCCAGGGTGTGCATGGTGCCGGCAAGGCACCTGGCCCGAACCAGGGATGCAGCAGGACAGAGATCAGAGCCATTGCAACGTTGCAACCGGAAAGAATCGGCCATCCCCTACTCTCTCCTTTGATCTTTACTCCCCCCTGCAAATACACTATTCACCGTTTGCTAGCCCGTGAAACAAGCATGCCGTCAGCAAGCTAAAACCCACCTTGGTCAAGCCAAAGAGCAACCAAGTTGGGAAGGTACCTGGACCAATTTTCTCAAGAGATGCCCTGTCAGGAGCCATGTTGGGGAGGGGCATGAGTAGGCCTCAAAATGGGAGACCCCCTCCCCCACAAAAAAACTGACAATGTGCATTCCCCTTCGGTTTCCCTTCAAAACCACCCAAACATGAGTACCCTCGAACCACTCTCCTTCGTCATTCTCCCCAAGCTTCACTCGACAGACTTTCAGCCAAGGCACATAGCGGCGCCGGAGACGGCAGCGGCCTGTGTGTCCTGCGCGGCATGCCACTGCCGATGGTCCTTACCCCGCAAACTAATATCGAACCCTCAAAGGAATGCCCCCCGGAAAACGCCTCTACAAAGGACAGTCTTTGTTGGTTCCATGTTAACCTAGTAAGAGCCCTTATGGGCGAGGTTGCAAACCCGATTTCTCGGGTCACTATCACGTTAAACCTGATCTGTCAGGTCACTATGTATGGTCTGCCCGCCCGCATGCTCGTCTAGACTCCCAAACGACAAAAAAATCTTTAGGGGTCATAGAAGTTTGCAACGCTCATGGTTTTCATGGGGTTGACAACCGTCATGATTTTCGTGGGGGTTGACAACCGTCATGATTTTCATGGCGGCTGACAACCGTCATGATTTTCATGGCGGTTGGCAACGCATATGATTTTCGGGGTTTACGTCCTTGGCGGCCGCAGCGTCCATGACGCTCATTTTTCATGGCAGTTGACAACCGTCATGATTTTTAATTATGGGGGTTGACAACCGTCATGATTTTCATGGCGGCTGACAACCGTCATGATTTTCACGGCGGTTGGCAACGCATATGATTTTCCGGGTTTACGTCCTTGGCGGCCGCAGCGTCCATGACGCTCATGATTTTCATGGGGGTTGACAACCGTCATGATTTTCATGGGGGTTGACAACCGTCATGATTTTCATGGCGGTTGGCAACCGTCATGATTTTCATGGCGGTTGGCAACGCGTATGATTTTCGGGGCTTACGTCCTGGGCGGCCGCAGCGTCCATGACGCTCATGAGTTTCATGGCGGTTGACAACCGTCATGATTTTCATTGGGGTTGACAACTGTCATGATTTTCATGGCGGTTTGCAACCGTCATGATTTTCATGGTGGTTGGCAACGCATATGATTTTCCGGATTTACGTCCTTGGCGGCCGCAGCGTCCATGACGCTCATGATTTTCATGGCGGTTGACAACCGTCATGATTTTCATGGCGGCTGACAACCGTCATGATTTTTCACCCCCATGAAAATCATTACGGTTGTGAACTGCCATGAGAATTTTGAGCGTCATGGACGCTGCGGCCGCCAAGGACGTAAACCCCGAAAATCATATGCGTTGCCAACCGCCAACCGTCATGATTTTCATGGCGGCTGACAACCGTCATGATTTTCATGGCGGTTGGCAACGCATATGATTTTCGGGGTTTACGTCCTTGGCGGCCGCAGCGTCCATGACGCTCATGATTTTCATGGCAGTTGACAACCGTCATGATTTTTATGGGGGTTGACAACCGTCATGATTTTCACGGCGGCTGGCAACCGTCATGATTTTCATGGCGGTTGGCAACGCGTATGATTTTCGGGGTTTACGTCCTTGGCGGCCGCAGCGTCCATGACGCTCATGATTTTCATGGGGGTTGACTACCGTCATGATTTTCATGGCGGCTGACAACCGTCATGATGTTTACGGCGGTTGACCTTGGTGGCTGCAGCGTCCATGACGCTCATGATTTTCATGGGGGTTGACAACCGTCATGATTTTCATGCGGTTGACAACCATCACGATTTTCATGGTGGTTGACAACCGTCATGATTTTCATGGCGGTTGGCAACGCGTATGATTTTCGGGGATTACGTCCTTGGCGGCCGCAGCGTCCATGACGCTCATGATTTTCATGGCGGTTGCCAACCGTCATGATTTTCATGGGGTTGACAACCGTCATGATTTTCGTGGGGGTTGACAACCGTCATGATTTCCATGGCGGTTTGCAACTGTCATGATTTTCATGGCGGTTGGCAACGCGTATGATTTCCGGATTTACGTCCTTGGCGGCCGCAGCGTCCATGACGCTCATGATTTTCATGGCGGTTGACAACCGTCATGATTTTCATGGCGGCTGACAACCGTCATGATTTTCAACCCCCATGAAAATCATTACGGTTGTCAACTGCCATGAGAGTTTTGAGCGTCATGGACGCTGCGGCCGCCAAGGACGTAAACCCCGAAAATCATATGCGTTGCCAACCGCCAACCGTCATGATTTTCATGGCGGCTGACAACCGTCATGATTTTCATGGCGGTTGGAAACGCGTATGACGCTCATGATTTTCATGGCGGTTGACAACCGTCATGATTTTCATGGGGGTTGACAACCGTCATGATTTTCACGGCGGCCGGCAACCGTCATGATTTTCATGGCGGTTGGCAACGCGTGTGATTTTCCGGGTTTACGTCCTTGGCGGCCGCAGCGGCCATGACGCTCATGATTTTCATGGCGGTTGACAACCGTCATGATTTTCATGGGGGTTGCCAACCGTCATGATTTTCATGGCGGTTTGCAACCGTCATGATTTTCATGGCAATTGGCAACGCGTATGATTTTCGGGGTTTACGTCCTTGGCGGCCGCAGCGGCCATGACGCTCATGAGTTTCATGGCGGTTGACAACCGTCATGATTTTCATTGGGGTTGACAACTGTCATGGTTTTCATGGCGGTTTGCAACCGTCATGATTTTCATGGTGGTTGGCAACGCATATGATTTTCCGGATTTACGTCCTTGGCGGCCGCAGCGTCCATGACGCTCATGATTTTCATGGCGGTTGACAACCGTCATGATTTTCATGGCGGCTGACAACCGTCATGATTTTCAACCCCCATGAAAATCATTACGGTTGTCAACTGCCATGAGAATTTTGAGCGTCATGGACGCTGCGGCCGCCAAGGACGTAAACCCCGAAAATCATATGCGTTGCCAACCGCCAACCGTCATGATTTTCATGGTGGCTGACCACCGTCATGATTTTCATGGCGGTTGGCAACGCATATGATTTTCGGGGTTTACGTCCTTGGCGGCCGCAGCGTCCATGACGCTCATGATTTTCATGGCAGTTGACAACCGTCATGATTTTTATGGGGGTTGACAACCGTCATGATTTTCACGGCGGCTGGCAACCGTCATGATTTTCATTTCGGTTGGCAACGCGTATGATTTTCGGGGTTTACGTCCTTGGCGGCCGCAGCGTCCATGACGCTCATGATTTTCATGGGGGTTGACTACCGTCATGATTTTCATGGCGGCTGACAACCGTCATGATTTTTACGGCGGTTGACAACACGTATTCATTTTCGGGGTTTACGTCCTTGGTGGCTGCAGCGTCCATGACGCTCATGATTTTCATGGCGGTTGACAACCGTCATGTTTTTCATGGGGGTTGACAACCGTCATGATTTTCATGGCGGTTTGCAACCGTCATGATTTTCATGGCGGTTGGCAACGCATATGATTTTCCGGGTTTACGTCCTTGGCGGCCGCAGCGTCCATGACGCTCATGATTTTCATGGCGGTTGACAACCGTAATGATTTTCATGGGGGTTGACAACCGTCATGATTTTCACGGCGGTTGGCAACGCGTATGATTTTCATGGCGGTTGGCAACGCGTATGATTTTCGGGGTTTACGTCCTTGGCGGCCGCAGCGGCCATGACGCTCATGATTTTCATGGCGGTTGACGCTCATGATTTTCATGGCGGTTGCCAACCGTCATGATTTTCATGGGGTTGACAACCGTCATGATTTTCATGGCGGTTGACAACCGTCATGACTTTCATGGCGGTTGGCAACGTGTATGATTTTCGGGGTTTACGTCCTTGGCGGCCGCAGCGTCCATGACGCTCATGATTTTCATGGCGGTTGCCAACCGTCATGATTTTCATGGGGTTGACAACCGTCATGATTTTCGTGGGTTGACAACCGTCATGATTTTCATGGCGGTTTGCAACTGTCATGATTTTCATGGCGGTTGGCAACGCGTATGAGTTTCCAGGATTACGTCCTTGGCGGCCGCAGCGTCCATGACGCTCATGATTTTCATGGCGGTTGGCAACCGTCATGATTTTCATGGTGGTTGGCAACGCCTATGATACTACATGGTGGTCGGCAACGCCGATGATTTTTCATGGCGGTTGGCAACGCCCATGATTTTTCATGGTGGTTGGCAACGCCCATGATCTCTCATGGCGGTTAGCGACGCCCATGATTGTTCATGGTGGCTGGCAACGCCCATGATTTTTCATGGGTGGTTGGCAACGCCCATGATTTTTCATGGTGGTTGGCAACGCCCATGATTCTTTCATGGTGGTTGGCAACGACTATGATTTGTCATGGTGGTTGGCAACGCCTATGATTTTTCATGGTGGTTGGCAACGCATATGATTTTTCATAGTGGTATGCAACGCATATGAATTTCATGGTGGTTGGCAACGCATATGAATCTCATGGTGGTTGGCAACACACATGATTTCATGGTGGTTGGCAACGCCTATGATGTTGCAGGGCGGTTTGCAAAGCATAAGGCACAGAAAATGGCCGCGCAAAGGCCCTTTTGTAAAAATGGCCGCACAAGGGGTCTTGCGGCAGAGAAGCACCACTTGTGCGGCCGTTGGCAACGCCTATGATTTTTCATGGTGGTTGGCAACGCATAAGGCGCAGAAAATGTCCGCACAAAGGCCCTTTTGTAAAAAATAGCCGCGCAAGGGGTTTTGCGGCAGACAAGCGCCACTTGCGCAGCCGTTCATTTTTTCATGGTGGTTGGCAACGCCTATGATTTTTTAGAGTGGTTGGCAACGCCTATGATCTTTCATGGTGGTTGGCAACGCCCATGATTTTTCATGGTGGTTGGCAACGCCCATGATTTGTCATGGTGGTTGGCAACGCCCATGATTTGTCATTGTGGTTGGCAACGCCGATGATTTTTCATGGTGGTTGGCAACGCCTATGATTTTTCATGGTGGTTGGCAACGCCCATGATTTGTCATGGTGGTTGGCAACCCTCATGATTTTTCATGGTGGTTGGCAACGCCTATGATTTTCATAGTGGTATGCAACGCATGTGAAATTCATGGCGGTTGGCCACGCATATGATTTCATGGTGGTTAGCAAGTTAGCAACGCCTATGATTTTGCACGGTGGTTGGCAACGCATAAGGCACAGAAAATGGCCGCACAAGGCCCTTTTGCTAAAAAC